ATTGGAATGCATTTTTTTTATCGACAATAAAAATATGTTTTAATGACCTTTGCTATATTAGTAGAATCTCGAGTTTTTCCTTCTTTCCTGAAGGCAACCAGCAGAGGGTGCCGACCGACGGTGCCTCAACTCAACCAACCCTCTGCTGGTATTTTGGGGAAAAACCATCGGAGTGGGACCTCTGCGTTTTCCCTGTCTCTGCTCGTGTCTACACCCCCCCAAACACACACAGGCACACACAGCGACCTGACGAGCGGCACCAGACCGGAGCCGGAGCCGGAGGAAAAGAAAAACCGCCTCACCTCACCGTGCTGGCTTTTGCGCACATGTTTGTGGTTTAAATCTGGTGGATTTGACGCCGTGACAACTTTTATTTTCCATCTTCCGCGACGCAGCGAGAGGGAAGAGACAATAGATCAGGAAAAATCGTGAGTGAAGAGCCGATGTGGGATTTTACATTTTACGCAATCAGAGCATGTGAGTTAAAAGCTACTGTGGCTTTTTAAAAAATCGCTTTTTAAACTAAATGTTTCAACACTCACTCTTTGCCCTCTGATATTTCTTAATCCTACGTTATTATATATGAGTGCACATGTTAAATAATGTCTTTGCGGTGATATCTTCCATGCGTAATTGGATAATTTTGATGCGCAGAGTACATAATTCGTTTTCCTTTTTCCTCTCATTGTTTATCATAGTATTATTCAAACTCCGTTTTAAATGCCACTTGTGTTTAGCTGAATCCTAATGCCACTAGGCACATTTTGGGGTTGCAAAAAATAAGGATGAACGTCGCCTGTGCTTCTCAGAAACCAATCCACGCACGCAGGACTCCGGCATCTTCTCCCTGCCATGTGCCACTTCCACTGAGGTCAACCGAGGAGATCCACGGGTGTTGGAAATGTGGGGAAAGGTGCAGGAGGTGTTTTTTTATTTTTCACAGTCAGGGTGGGGTTTTTGTCTCGCTTTATTGCGGCCACGTTTTACGCGCACGTCATTTCTTTCTCTCCCCCCGTGCGCTTTTACGCACAGCGACACAGGCTGAATGGAGATTGAGGCTGAGACACTGGAGTGAGAAGATCTTTCAGGAGGACGACAGAAGGCGAACAGCTGCTGAATAAAAGAGGCCAGGCGCTGGCTGAGGTAGTAGTTTGTGCTGTTGGTCGGGTTGTCACGTTGCCCCCGTTATGGAGATGACTGCGCAATCTACTGCCTTGCCGGCGCTGGTGACTTGCGACAGAGGAATGGAACTGGATCGGGATGAACTGAATGGAGAGTAGCATGCTTCCACAATTATCAAGTGTTAATTATGTGTGAGCTCGGACAGATATTCTCATTTGAAACACATTCAAAGCTAAAATATCTCTTGCTTTTTACATTTTTAATAAAGCTTATTTTAATGGCATCACATGGATTTGTGTTACTTCTCTCCAGGTCTTGTTTCAATTTATTTTCAAGCCTCAATCCTAGGTGGATGATATTGTCCAAGAGTCGGTATGTAAA